TTCTTTTCCTTCCTTCCTTTTTCCCTCCTTCCTCCATAGTTGCCTTTTCCTTTTGGAGAATATCTTCCCATTTTACAATATCTATTCCATATTTTGGTTCTTATGTACATTTTCAGTTTCTCACACCAGAGAGATAATGCATTATTTACATGTGTGTCTGATTTGTTTCACTTATGATTGTGGTCTCAAAGCCCATCCATGTAGCTATAAATGTCTCAATTTTATCTTTCTTTATGGCTGAGTAATACTCCATTGTAGGAAAAAAGCCACATCTTTTTTATGCATTCACCAATTGATGAGCGTTTGGGTTTCTTCCAAGATTTAGCTATTAGCAGCTGCGCTGTGCTAGGCATAGGTGCACATATGGTGCAGCGGTATGATGCCTTTAATTCTTCTGGGAAGATACTCAGAAGGGGAATAGCCGGGTCAACAAAAGACTAATACCTAAAACATACGAAGAACTGGCAAAAATCAGACCTTCCAAATCGAAAGACTCAATCCAAAGATGGCATCTGAGATGACAGACACGTCTCAGAAGAAGTACAGCCTAGACTGTCTTTTAGTAAAGGGAACTTCCCCTTGGATTTCTTCCCAGTCTTTAGGGAGCAGAGTATTTGGCAGGAGTCCAGCTTATGATAGATCCCTTGTGGCAAATAGTATTTTTGTTGCTGTGTAATTACTGATTGATTCACGAAAATTACCGAGTATCTACCATGCGTAAGATGCTGTGCTGTCAACAGCAAGCCTATGTTTTAGCTAAAGACACAAACAGGGACAAAATAAACACACAACATAAAACTGTTTTTGCCACACAGAGCACTTGGCAGTTTCCGTATAAATGGAACAAGGGAGAGAATACAAGAGTCTCTGCAAGATTATAGTGAGCCTTGCAGAGCTTCATAAGAGCTTGCGGTTCATTCTGCGCAGGATTGGAAGTCACGGGGAGTCCTGAACGAAGAGTGACAGAGCCTGATTGAAGTCTAAAGCCTCCTTTAATTTTGTCAAGAATAAACCACAGAGGGTGAGATCTAGGGACATGGCCACCGCATTTGGCAGTTGTCGTGTCGCTGGTGGCCCAAATTATGGTGGAGGCCGTGGAGACGGGGAGAAGCATTATGTTTTCACAGCATCCGTCAGAATATGCCGATGGGAGGACGCCAGGCGGCTTCCTGAGCCTCCAGAGAATGAATTTGTCTGCGTTGAATCCCATCCCTCAGGACCTCATCCATATGCTTGAGTGACAAAAGACTCTTAGGCCACTTTCTTCCTCCTCATGCCCATCCCTGGCCCCTGAGTCCAAGCCTTCCCTCCCTTCAGCAGGACTGTGAAAGCGCGCACACATCATTTTCTGCCAGCAGACGCAGAGGTCATGAGCGGGTTACTGATTCAAAACACCTGGTCTCCTGGTGCGTGACTCAGAACACCAGGTGTTATTATTTTTCAGAAGTACAAATAATATTGTAATTACTGCAGAATCAAAGAAACCGATAGTGTGATCAAATCCTGATGAAATCAGAATTGAGAAGATGAAAGAGAAAAGGAGGTTACAGTGAGCTGAGGAAAAAAGCAAGGGAGGAACTCTGACAGCAGACAGGCTGGTGGTTGTCATCAGTGTGAAGAGACAAGGCTGAGGAACATCCTTCCAGGCGCTGTCTGTGTTCAGCCTTTTGACCAGGGGTTCACTTTATAATGCTTTCTTTAGCTGTGTGTTTTCAGTTGTGTTGTTTCAGGGACAAAGATGTACCTCAGCACCTGCCCAGCGAGCGTGAGGTTGTGAGTTCAATTCCCGATACAAAAAAACCCCAAAAAACAGTCAGTTGTGCTGTTGCATTGTAAAATGTGAAGGTGGTTGTGGGAGAACTGGATGGGTGTAATTCTCATTTTTTTTTTGAGACAGGGTCTTGCTATGCAGTTCAGGCTGGCCTTGAGCTCACTTTGTAGCCCAGGCTGGTCTTGAACTTGCAACAATCCTCCTGCCTCAGCCTCCCGAGTGCTGGGATTACAGGTGTGCACTACCACACCTGAGTCTTAATTCTCAATTTTATTGTTTTTTGTTTTTTTTTTTTTTTTTTTTTGTTTTTCCCGGTACCAGGAATTGAACTCATGACCTCGTGCTTGCCAGGCAGGCGCTGTGCCGCTGAGCTAAATCCCCAGCCCTAGTTCTCAATTTTAAACCCTTGTCTATTTGATTTTCAAACTATGTGTATTATTACACTTAATATTTCAAGTGTGAATTACTGTACCAATGAAGTATAAAATGATCTTGATTAGGTAATTCCAAGAAATTTTGATTTTATATATTTAATCTATATAATCTTCAAAACATAAAGGCTAGTTTTTTGAGAGTATATAACAATTGTTCTTAAATATAAGTATTACTATTTTTTATCATATTCTTCATATATGTCCCATGACTTGGTTCAACCTATTCCAAAGCGGGAATTTTTTGGGTACCAGGAATCAAACTCAGGACCTTGTGCTTGCCAGGCAGGTGCTTGTGCCACTGAGCTATATCCCCAGCCCTATTTTTTATTTTTTTAAACGCCAACATTCTGTATTAAGTTCTACTTTGAATTCCTACTCTTTAACTTAGTGCATTAAATATTAAGCTTTAACTAGTATAAATTCTTTTTTTTTTTTTTGTCTTTTTGAGACAGGGTCTCACTATGAAGTTCAGGCCTGCCTTGAGCTCACTTTGTAGCCCATCCTGGTCTCGAACTTGCAACAATCCTCCTGCCTCAGCCTCGCAATTGCTGGGATTACAGGCACGTGCTACCATGCCCAGCTGCTTTAACTATTTTAAATACAAAAAATATAACGTAAAAATAAATTGGAAGGAAAATAATTTCCTTCCTGGAGTTCTTATCAGGGATATTGGAGGGGGTCCTTTTTGTTAATCATAGCATTCTAGGACTGGAACCTTACGAAACACTGAGTTCAAATTTTGCGTGCTTTCCCACAATCTGTTGCTCGGTCCTTTTCGCAAGAATGTTTTGGAGTGAAGACGCAGCCCAGACCAGAAACCGCAACCATGTCAGCGGGTGAAAGGGCGTGGGTCTCAGTGACCACAGACGCTGAGTTTTACTACTGTGACCTCGGGTGTAGTATCGTCCCTCACCTTCCTAGTCCAGGCCCAAAAGTGGAGTTAGCATGCCTTACTTTTCAAGATCTCTGTGAGGCCTTTGCTACTTCCCTTCTCTTTGATGACTCATTCCCTCCCCGGAAGCTCATTGGTTCTCAGTACACAGCTCCGAATCCCTTTGTGTACTGACCCTCAGGGTTGTTTCCCCGTTGCCTGAGTTCTAGCTTCGGCTCTTGGGGGCTTTATAGAAGTGTACTCCTTTTCTCTGTGACAACACGTGGGCTCAGAAATCACAAAGATGCGTGCTCATAGAGCCCGGCAGGCACGTTACCCGGGTAGAGCGGCAAGAGCTGTGAAAACCGACCCCTGCTGTACCCGAGCCTGTGCTCAGCACTGAACAAACACATGCGCAGCTCTGACACGTCCCTGCTGCCTGCCTAACTCAGGGACGTTTTTATAACTCTGACCAGAGTGATAGCAGCCCCGCAAGAATGTCTGTGAGCCAGCTCAAGTACTAGAGCCAGCAGATCGCAACCTCCACTTAGACCGTGGTAAACAGTTACCAGGTCCCTCTCGGCTACACAGCCGCTTCGCGTTGACCAGCAGCTCCGCCTGCACAGGGCAGGTGGGGCTGAAATGCAGCCCGCCCTCGGGTCACCAGGACATTTGCTCTAATCCACCGCAAGGCATCTGGGAAGCAGAAGCCGGCTGCAGGAGTGTACCGGTCTCTCTCAGTGCGTCCTCTCGAGGTAAATTCTACTCATCTCAGGCACATTTCTTTCTTCCTAACACACCACAGTTCACTGAGGTAGACATTCAAGAAATTATCTACAAAGACAAATGCGGTGTGACCAGCACATCCCATGGGGCGCAGATTGTCTTACCTTCCTTTTAGAAAGATGCTCTTTCTTAATTTGGGGGGGCTGGATCAGGCAAATTGTCCTTCCCCAGAGGCCACACCCCTTTTCTGCTTCTACCAGCTGTAGAGTTCTTGCCATCCTTGGCTGCCAGCTGATTGTTTTGCGATTTTGCAAGCCTAGTGAAAGTTATTCTCTGGCTGAACGGCATGTTCAGCCGTGAGTGAGACTGTGTCTTCTTATAGGGAAACAGACTTTCCCATCTTCTTCCCTTTATCTATGCTGCTGGTAGGTTTTTTCTTTCTTATTTAACTTCAATGAAATATTTATAAATTTAAAAACAGATGCTCTTAACTGTGTTCCTTAGATCTTATAATAGTCCATGGAATGATCTCACAGGATCTATGAACCTGCTGATACTGTATAAAAGATTGTGCAGGGCTGGCATATATATCTTTCAACAGATTCTTTAAACGATTAAAAACTCAAAGAAAATTCAGCAGTCATTATACAAACTTTAAACCAGTGTTTCAATTAAAGTAGTCTGAAGCTTTAGCATTTAGAAGGCAGGCCTGTCAGAAGATTGATCAATACTGAGATTAGTCGCTACTCAAAGCAATTTGTGTTTCTTTGTACATAGTTCCGAAGCCCCTGGTGGATCCTTGTGTAATTACCACACTGCGCTAACCCAGTGAATGCTGATGTTATTAGTTCATCCAAATCTGAGACCTAAGAATTGTTTATTTTCATTTCATTAGTCCGATGCTAAAATCTATAATGCATGATTCTTTTTAGTCTCTACTAAAAACAACTTATCAATTCTCATGCAGAGCTCCACAGCCCCCTTGTGTAACTAGCCACACCACACATCCAGTGAAGGCAGATATTTAACCTGAATCTGAGACCTAAGAGTTAGAGTCTATTTCATTTTATTAAACTGATGCTAAAATCTATAATGCTATGATTCTTAAGACCTAGGAAAATGATACACTGCTGGGATATGTATTTCAATCTTTAGCTCCTATAAATTTACGTGAACTTTTCTTTTCTCTTTTCCCTAGGTCGAAAGTTCAAAAAGTTCAATAAAGTCAGAGTTATGAGAGCGCTAGATAGTGTTGCTCTCCCGCAGTCTGTGGGCATTCCGAATGAAAGCCAGAGAATCACCTTTTCACCAAGTCAAGAAATACAGTTGGTGCCCCCACTGATCAACCTGCTGTCGAGTATTGAACCAGATGTGATCTACGCAGGTCACGACAACACAAAACCTGACACCTCCAGTTCTTTGCTGACGAGTCTTAATCACCTAGGCGAGAGGCAACTTCTGTCAGTAGTCAAGTGGTCTAAATCACTGCCAGGTAAAAATGATGCATAACAGCACCTGACAAATGTTTGTGCTACATTTGCACATGTGTATTATTAAATAAAACTGCATGTAGTAAATTACCTGTAATGTAAAAAGCATGCTGTGTATTTTTCAGCAGTTCAGATCGTTAAATACCCTTGTATGTGTGGTGGAAATACATAAGAAGTAGAGGACACATCGAGTCTTGGTCTTCAGTCAAGAATTATACACATAAAACAGTTAAGAAATAGCAAATGTGTGTCCAGCCACAGATATAACAGTAGTTTAGAGAAAGAGATACTGACCATTTAAAAAAAATGTCTAGTTCATTCTAAAACTTAATTGAAGCAACTTTAATTGGTCAAAAAGAAAGCTGACTGTGTCTTCTCGTGTAATGAATCAAAATTCAGACTATAGTAAGGCATCTAAGGTCAACTAAGAAAACAAAATTGCTAAACATAAAAGTTATTTGGACATAGAGAAAATAGCCTCCAGTCACTACTTCCTCTAATTTATAACCAAATAAAGGGGCTACAGCCCAGCACCAGGGAGGACTTAGGTTATATCATCAGGAAAGTATTCCAGTCACTTTATCACCCAGTTTTTTCCCTCTACATAGCTTCACGGGAGCCAAATGGTTGAAAGAAAAATGATGACATTCTCCCTTGGTTAAATCTTCAACTGCAGAACAAGGAGGTGTGCAGGCATTGTTTGCGGAGGTGTTAATCTCATGCTTAGAAATAGGAATCCTTTTCAAAAATTACACTGTCTTCACACCAGTAATAGCTTTATACTTGTCTAGACCAATTTATTTTTCTAATATCTGATCAAGAATTAATGTTATGTCCTTTTAGTCCCCAAGTAAATTAAGTAGAATTTTTGAAAAAAAAATTCTTCCCCATTTGCCTTAATATATTTCTCAGTTATTATTCTATCTGAAAGGTTTGAAACATAATAGGTGTATTGTTACTGAACATTCAGTGTTGCAGAAAGAAACAGAAAATATATCCTTGTTTGTTCAATCTTTTAAAAAATATATATTGAAAGAAAGTTGCCCAGCTTCTTATTAACTTTATTCTAGCTACATGGGGTTGTACTGGTATTTTTTTTTCATTAGGAAAGTTCTGAATAAGTTCTGTAAGATGGTCATCAAACTTGACAGTCCTTTACTAAGCAAAATGTGCTGCTGGCATTGATGCAATTATTATTTAAAATATGTGTGTTTAAAAGTGTTTTCAATTTTTCTCAGTTTTTCTATTACTTAGAAATGATTTTTTTGATAGAGGTCATATTTCTGTTGTTTGCATTTTATGTTCAAAAAGATTCTACCTTTAGCTGACAAATTTAGAAAATAAGCAATTATAATTCAAAAGATAATTATTCACTTTGGATAAAAGTTAAGTGAGCCTTTTAAGTTTAAACAGATACCTAAGAGGAGTGTTTGACCCCATCCAGCCTTAGAAAGAGAGAGACAGAGAGAGAAAGGGAGGGAGATAGAAAGAAAGGAGGAAGTACGAGAAAGGAAGAGCGGAAATTCTTACTTGGAAATTGGTGGCAGTTATTGTTGAAAAATATAATTTACGTGTATCAAATCAGAACGATGACAGCGCTGGCATTACATGCACAGGTGCCAGTAACTATACAGAAGGGAAGTGTTGGGGCTGTCGCAGGGTTTGTGTGGCCTGTGGTCTTTCTTTTTAAACCGTGTTTGCATAGACTGCATTCGGAAGTCGCACCACTGGTTGAATGTGAAAATGTCTGCAAACTCAAGCGACTATCTTGGCTTCTCAGAAAGGGCTCAGAGCGACATGTTTATACCTTAGTACCGCTAGATGATCCAAACTGGTTCCGTCGACTTTAAATAGTGTTAGTTTTTGTTTACTGATTCCCTCATTAGATGTCTATTATATATGTTCTGTGTGCAAGGCCTAACAAACAGTAGTGTCCAAAAGGAAATCCAGAAAGCTAGTCTCGTGGCGTGAATGCGTTTTGGTGCAAGATACAATAGCATGTGGTCATCAGTTCCACATGAGAAGTTTACTTTGTGCATTCACTTGTATGACATAAAACTAACAAGTCTGTGGAAGGTGGACTTATGTTAAAATAGCCTTTATAGTAAGACAGCATATGATTTGCTGACAGTGCAGAAACTATTCTTTGCTGGATTTATCAAGTCATTCTTCCACAATAGGAAGGTGTATTTGGGAAGTCCGATCAAGAGCAGATGCAGAATAATCATTATAACAATGGTGATACCCGACATGGGGCCCCTGGGCGTGAATCTGCTGGCTCTCTGCGGACTTGTTGCTTCCTCAGGCTTTATTTGTCTATCCATTTGCATTAATTTTGACCAGTTACAACAGTTGCAGCTTATCTTACTTCCCTATATATTTCAGAGATATTCTTGTTTATTTAATAGATACTTGCAAGATGCTCTATCCTCAGGACAAGATATTTATAAACCATCACTTAGGGTACATTGCATCAGACATATAGAGGTGTTTTTTTTTTTTTTTTTTTGGTTTTTCTCCGGTACCGGGAACCAAACTCATGACCTTGCACTTGGCAGGCAGGCACTTTGCCGCTGAGCTAAATCCCCAGCCCCTAGAGTTTGTTTATAAATGATTTTACATTGACTTGTGTCTGTAGCTTCAGAAAGCAATATTTGGAGTTTAGAACAACACATTAACTGTGACATTTAAAAATTGAAAAGTTTTTGCCTATCAAAAGAAATCAACAGAATAAAAAGAAAACCCATGAATTGGGAAAAAATTTTAGCCAACTGTTCCTCAGACAAAGGACTTCTACCTAGAACATATAATTGATTATTTTCTAACAAGTCTCTCTCTCTCTCTCTCTCTTTTTTTATATATATATATGTATATATATATATGTCTTTTTACATAAAATATAACATTTTAAAATGCCTTTACAGAAAATAAAATATATATGGAACACATATTCTGGGAAATATATATGTGAGATAAAAATATTTATCTTTTGAATTTATTGCCATTACTAATATTTATACTTTAATTGTATTATATAGGTTCTATAATATAAAATGGCATTTAATTTCAATCTCATTCTTTTTTAAAATTAGAGACTTTCTATCAGATTTAGATCTTGATAGACTAATAATGCATATTTGTATTCTGCTTTACAGTATGCATAATTATCCCGTATGAGTTTATGAAAATAAACTCATATTGAATTAGTTATCATTATTGTTGTTCTCTTCTCTATGAAGCAGTGTAAACGCAGTGACATTAAATAACTTGCCCACAAGGGCTGGGGATTTAGCTCAGCAGCAAAGCGCTTGCCTGGCAAGCGCAAGGTCGTGAGTTCGGTTCCTGGTACCGGAGAAAAACCAAAAAAAAAATAAAATAAAATAACTTGCCCACAGTGGCTTTTGGTACAGATAGAACCAGGACTGGAACTTAGGTCTCTCCGGAACGCCTTCTAATTTGAAGAGAATGGCCAACAATAGACAGCAAAAATGTGCCTTCCTTAAAACAAATTCCTTTTCTAGAAACTAAGCAAATTCATTGATCTTTTATCAAATTATTTTAAAATTACCGAAGAACGACTCATTTTAAAAAACATATTAAATAGTCAGTTGACACATAGCATTTATTTTCTAGACTTGCTGTGTTAAGATTCGTCATTTTTTTCCTAAGAGGAGTTTTATGTAGATACGTCCCTGACAGTATATTTAAGGCATATGAAAATAAAGTGATGAAAATTGCATGCCAGTTTTTTATTAGGTGGTTATTTAGAGAATCTTTCTGCACCTGAGTAAATCAGAAGTCTTAGACGCCCACGGAAAATAAAACAACTGTGTTAAGTACATGAAACTTTAAAAAAAAAAAAAAAACCTAGCTGTGAGAAATAAAAGTACAAGAAAAAAATAAAAATACTAAAGGATACCCAGGGAGTCACAGAATAGAAGTTAAGGGACAGCGATGGAGAATGGGCAGAGCTGAGCGTCTCCAAAGGTCCAGAAAGGAAAACCCAGCATTACAAATGCACCCACAGGATCCCACCCCAGGAGCACCCCGTTCAGAATAAGAAGCTGTGTCTTTCTGTTTCCTTCACTAATTCTGCTCGGCGCCCTGGTAGACTGTGTTTCATAAGCCCAGGAAAGCAGAAGCATTAGCCGGCTTCCTTGGTGTGATGGTTGGACACTTGGTGTCACCAGACTCCAGCCAGTGGTGATCTGTCCACACAGAGAGAGGGACGGACGGAGGGGGGGAGAGAGGGATGGAGGGAGGGAGGTCTGACACTGAGCACCGCTTTCCACTCCCCATGCCGAAGGGAGACCTCTCTGGCACCCTGAGTTATGAATATGTCCTAGAATTGTTCTGGGTCCCAGGTAACTTGAAGAGTTCTGCCTACTGTTCACAGGAAGGCGGGACCGTCTGGGGCAGGTGGACAGGAAAGAGCTTTCTTTTCTGGTACGGTCTTTAAATGTTTAATGTAGTCAGGAAGTGAGTTCCTTTTGCCCTTGGTATCTAATGAATTGTTTTGCTTTGATTTTATTTCTGAATTAAGTTATCTGTAAATGTGTTTCAGTGGATTTTTACTCAGAAAAATTCAAAGATCTTTAAAATAGTGGTTGCTGTTTATACCCCCATTTCTTTCTCTTAACCTTTAATAAAAGAGTTTACCTACTTTCCTTGCTTCAACTACAATCAGATGTAAAGAAATTACATATTTATATTTCTAGCCCAGATGGCTCCCAGTCCTTCTTGTCCATATGCCCAGTTGATATCTCGGTATTTCTGAGGACCCTCGAATATGTCCAGAATGTACACTTTTCTCCTTAGCATGTTTCTCTTCCTTTACGATATTTTATCTTAGCGATGCTATTACTACCAGAGCATTTGGGGAAAAAAAAAAACCTACTGAAAAATATATTTGAGTCCTCCTTCCTGCCTACATGCAGTGAGTTGCTAAATCTCTTTTATTTTACTCTGTATGTAAATATTTCTCTGAGAACTCCCTCTTCTTAATTCTTACATCTTGACTTAGTTCAAGCTTTTATCATCTCACCTAGCCTTTGGCAATATCTCCCTTAACTCCAAAACTTACTCTGCTGAAAATACCTTCCACATAGGTAGCAAGGACCCATCTAAAACACATAGAAGGCCACATCCCTTCCATTGCTCTTCAATAGATGAGACCTTTTATAATCTGACCCAAGCTTACATCTCCCAGAAAATTAGATAAAGCACACTTGAAAGCAGTGGTTTTACAATCTAAAGCCGATTTGTTTAAATTCGATAAGGTTTTAGGGTAAAAAGTTGGAGGTTGCAAACATATTATCCTACTTACATCTCTGTTTATATTTGTGTACTTTTAGCATTTTCAAAACAAGCTTTTGTGATCATTTTAAATGTGTTTCGTAGGCTTTCGGAACTTACATATCGATGACCAGATAACTCTCATTCAGTACTCTTGGATGAGCTTGATGGTCTTCGCGCTAGGATGGCGGTCCTACAAACATGTCAGCGGGCAGATGTTATATTTTGCACCTGATCTAATACTAAATGAGTAAGTAGTAACTTTTCCTTTTCTTATTACCAGGGGTGTGTATGTAGGAAAATTTTGAAAATTATATTGCTATAAATGGTCATGCATTTATTTAATATCCTAAATAATATAATTTCCTGAAAGAGTTCTCAGAATTACCTGAATTGTCTTAAGTGACAGCTTGAAATGGTAATATTCATAGGAGTGGATCATTTCTATCAGTAATTCTGGTATTTAGAACTTTTTCCTTTAGTTTAAATATATATTGTTGTCTGAAACTTACTAAATTCTACAAAATTGTGTCAACAAATATACTTAAAGACAAAATGAAATGTTTAGGTTTATAAAGTTTCATTTCTTTGTCCTAAGGAAGATAATAAAAATAAATTACAAGTATTTTTACTTGAAAATATTGACTTACCTCTGGAAAACAAAAATATCTGTGGTCCTATAAGTAAAACTTTGGTAATTTATTTTGAAAATTGAAAGATAAATATTTCAGTTTGCTTTGTTATATTTGAATAATTTTCTGCATAAGACATTTAAGTAAATACAAATCATTTCATAACATTGATGCTGTCCCAACGGCGAGTGCTTCACAGTTCGCAATTTTCATGTATTTCATTCGATTTTTCTGACAACCTGTCAAAACAGGCAGGGAATCATCACCCTTCATTTTACGGTTCAGGAAACTGAGCTTCTGGAGAATTCAGTAACCTACCAAAGGGTCCGGCAGGATCAATCTTAACTCTTCTGGGTCAAAACCTGATCTTCTGATAACTATTCCCGTTAGCTTTTTCTGACTGAAGTGGACATGATGAAGCAGTGCGTGGCTGAGAAAATACCTTGTGTCCACTACTGTGAACGTTTGTTTTTAACCTTGTCAATTATTTAGTGCTTGCTAATGTTCCTTTTTATTCTTTTCTGGGCGCCAGACATTTCCCCTAGAAACGGCCACAGCGTGATTACTTTCTGTTGAAGTAATTCTCCCATTTAACTGCAACTAAGCACTATATACATACATACATGTATATATCCAGATATGAGTGTGTGTGTTTGTGTGTGTGTTTTCATAGGAAAAAATCATCAGTGAAGAAAGAATTTCTAAGCCTGCCTCAGTTCACATTTCGAACTCCTATGACTTTTCTACTTTTCTCTTGGCTTAGGTATTTAAAATGTTGATCATGAAAGGGAGAAACAATATTGTTTCATCAATTTATATTTAGTATTTTTTATAATTTCAAAATCATTTATTTTCTTAACCTCAAACATTTAGTACCAGAGTTGGGCGTGGTCGCACACAGCTGTAATCCCAGTATTCTGGAGACAGGAGGACCACAAATTTGAGCTCAGCCTGGGGAATTTAGAGATTTAGCAAGACCCTTTCTCAAGGAAAAAAAAAAAAAAAAATGGCTGCGGATGCAACTCAGGGTAAAGGTCCTGGGTTTAATTCCCAGTCCTGCCCAAAAGAGTACCTATTGGGGCTGGGGATTTAGCTCAGCGGCACAGCGCCTGCCTGGCAAGTGCAAGGTCCTGAGTTTGATTCCCGGTACTGGAAAAAAAAAAAAAGTACCTATTATTAAAAGTTTAAAAATATTTAGAGTTCAAAATGTTAAGTTTGTTTATTAAGTAGAGTAGTCATACTTAATAATATGAGAAATCACTTCTAGAATCATATCCTGTGGTACAGTACATAAACTGGCTGAGACTCTTTTCCTGTTGCTTTTTCCTTTACATTTACGTGTGGAGCAAGACAGAGGATGAAAGAATCGTCCTTCTATTCCTTGTGCCTGACCATGTGGCAGATCCCACAGGAGTTTGTGAAGCTCCAGGTTAGCGAGGAAGAGTTCCTGTGTATGAAAGTGTTGCTACTGCTAAATACAAGTGAGTGAGTACAAGTAACTTAAGAAGAGATGCCAGGTTTCTCAATTTTCAGTTCATTAATAAAGACTCAAATAATAGTATGGTTATTATTTATGAGGTATAAATCTCAGATTGTAACTGCCAAGAAGGAATACCGATACGTTATCACAGGCATTCATAAAGTGACTTGATTTTTTCATGTTTTACCCACCTATGATAGTAGTCTAGCCACTGTATTTTAGATAACATATGCTTCAATGCTTTTTCATAGTCATCTAATTTAGTACTTTAATTAATATTGATGAATACAAACTATGCTTTCCTTTTCTGTCTTCTCAAAGTATTTACTGTATAGAATACACAGTTTTGTTTGGAGTTGTTCACTTTTTATCAGGAAAGACTCTTATTAGGAATTGTTACAAAGGTAAGTAGCTTAGTGTATTAGCAATGTGTTTGTCACTTACACACAGTCCAGAGAATTAACCAGAAAAACATGGGCTCCTTCCAACTAGCGGCCCTCCCTTTTGTCTAGCCAGGAATCTGTCATGGTATCTCACTAGAAATGAGCCCTTAGTGAGGGATGGTTTGGAGGCAAAGCTTGAAAGTATTAAATGCCGTACATTACTTCTACCCACATTTCCGTGGCCCACCTTTAACTGCAGAAGAAGCCAGGGGTCGCAGCCATCTGTATGCTCAGAAGAAATAGATGTCTGGTGGTTTATTGAAAGGAACAATTAATGTTTACACTTTTTGACCAATTTTGCTTGCGTGTAGCTGGTAACCTGAAGAACTAATTTGAAGACAACAATATGCAATATAACCACTGGTGAATTCCTACCATCTCGTCTAGTGAAACTCTGTATTCTTTCTAATTTCTTTATTACTTTTTATTCTCTTTAATGGTTTCATCCATCTTGCATTCTTACGTCTGTAGCCTGAGCCACTTTGTTGACGATAACAATGTGTAATATAACAACCACCGTAAATCCCTGTCATTCTGTTTTGAAACCCTGTATCATTTTTATTGTTTTTGCTTTGTTTTGCTTTTGTCCATGTTGTTGTTATTTTGTTATTGGTTTTTATATGCTTTTTTTTTTTTTTTAAAAAAAGGCCAGTGGTTCACTTCAGATTGAGGTTTGTTTGTAAGTAAGGGGCAGCCACAGGAAAGTTAAATGAGGATGTGAGATTAGTTGTAGAGCTGCTGGAGAAGTCAACCAAGACATACTAGCTCACAACAGACGGACCTCACATTTTTAGGAAAGAAGTAGTAGTGAAATTGACAGTATAACATAAAGTTAGCGGTTATGCCTAAAATCTGAATTTAGAAATTAAAGATTTCAGAGGTGAAATTGCTAACCTAAATTACTAACTAGCGTCATGATAGGAATGAGTGGCACTCTCATTAAATAAAAATAAAATATGAGTACCCACCACCACTGCTGCTGAACAGTGCAATAAATTAGGAAGCAGAAATGAGGGCTACAACTATTAAAAAGTGGAAAATAAAACTGTTATTTAAATGTAGTATTTCTGCATACCACTAAAAGAAAGATAATCCTTGAAAAACTTGCTTGAATTACACATGGAGTGTTTGGATGTAAAAGAAGTACTCAGATATAGATACCTGTTTCTCATATTACCAGGGAGGCATTAGAAAATTTAGTGAAGCAATATTAAAATGACAACAACAAAAAGATAGATTATCCAAGAATAATAATTTCATTGAAAATGAGATTTGTATGAAGGAAAGAAAACTTTATAAAGAAGTCCAAGTGTTTGTTAAACAAAAAGAAAAACACAAAGTGCAGAACCTATACACCAAATCAAACCAGGTATTGGAGATAGAGTTATAGAGTCATGGTGGGTGCTTTTTTGAGTAAATGCTAAGTTAAATGCATCATTTATTGAGACAGCACTTAATTAGGTAAGCTGTGATGTTCCTTAATGTACCTTAGTAGTTTGGGTATTCTTTGAGAATTAGAAATTTATATATCCTGTCATTGTCATTGGCACTTTCTCCTGTGTAAGGTGTTTTATTTGGAATTACGCAGCACAAGAAATCATTACTTACTCAGAAATTATTAAAAATGTTAGTGTCAACGTAATCGCCCCTGTTGTTATTTCCGCCCAGTCCCTTTGGAAGGACTAAGGAGTCAGAGCCAGTTCGATGAAATGAGGGCGAGCTACATTCGGGAGCTCATCAAGGCCATCGGTCTGAGACAGAAAGGGGTTGTTCCTAGCTCACAGCGCTTCTACCAACTCACCAAGCTTCTTGACAGCTTGCATGATGTAAGTGTTTATTTTCCAGAGTATAAATGATTATTCTTTAAAGTTCTCTAGCCTTTTAAATGTTGAATGAGAATTTTTATTGATACTGTTTCTTCAAACTCATATTTGTACTTGAATTTTAGAAGTATTTATATCACACTACTAAGAATTCATATTGTGCACTTTTACTTTCAATGTAGAGCACTCAAGTATCCTTTCACTAGCATTTTGTTCAGCCTGAGGGTAGTTGAATGTGTAATAAGAGCTAGAATACATTTTCCGGAATATGGTCTAAAATATTTTTGCTTAAAATTAGAAAAATGTTTATATACCTAGCAAAAATACGGATGTGCAAAGCAGGAGGCAGCATTTTAGATGAATTGAAAGTAACATTGTTGATGGGCAGTCAAGCAGTATACAGAAAAGCTAATATCTGCATGTTTTTTGAATTTCCAGTTTTTTAGAATTTATTGTAAAGAAAGAATTAGGCAAAAATTAAAAATGTTTCAATTATTTCTGTTTTTCTCCCTCTCTGCTATGGTAAATATTCCAGAAAACCCAACACCAGAACTAGATTAATAAAACAAGACATATGTGATTAGTCAAGACTTATTGAATACGAGCTTTCTTGCTGCTTTGTTTAGAAACCACATTAAAATGACACTGAACGCATAAAAAAGCTATTCGTTCATGAGGTCAACTTTTAAGGCCTTCCTCCTGCATACAAAGAGATTGCCAAGATTATAAACTCTTTAAGTATAGTCTCTGGAATGAAAAAACTTAGAGAAAAATAAGCATAGAAAGTCAGCTTACAGGAAAAAGACCAGCACATAGAATGCAAGAAAACTAAAATACTCAGAGAAATGATGATAGTATGTCTGAGAAAGGTGAGTAGAAGATATTCAAAAAGGAATGTCTAGCAATGAAATACTTTCAGATAATTAAAGGAGATCAGAAATTAAAAATTCAGCGAGAGGGATAAAACATGAAGGAACCTCTGAGGAGAAAGATAACTAAAAGTAGAACATGGAAAATTAGAAGAGATACCAGTTTTAAAGGATTAATTGAGAGAGTTCCACCATTCAGTAATAGGAATTTCCATTAAGAAAGAATCGAGAGTTAGGAAGATGAAATTGTAGTAAGAAAAGTTGACAACTCAAGGATGTTCGTTTTCTAACTGTGAAGGCTCAGTGAGCAGGCACTGCAGTTCCCCCAAGGTACGTTAATATAAAAGTTTTGCATAGTAAGAGTGAAAAGCATATCCTGTATCTATCAGTGGAAAGGGAAATAAGTCACAGACAAATGATCAGCAATCAGAATGTCATTAGATTTCTCAACAGAAACAGTGGAACTCAGAAGACAATGGAATGAGGCCTTCAGATTTTGGAGGGAGAAGAAAATTTTCCAAGAATATGTATACTTAGCAAACGCATCAAAAAATTGCAAATACAATCAGCCAAATCCTCAGTCAATAATGTCAAAATTAGAAATAGCAGTACATGTCAAAAGACATTTATCTGAAATAGCGGTAAATGTCAAAAGACAGGCTAAAAATATTAAAGTCATACCTGGGGAACGGAAATAAGAATAGAAAGACATTTCAGAAACTTCTAGATTTTGTTGCTGCTGGTGTTGCTGTTTATGTTAGAATCTTAGAGTACCATTTGACTTTTTAAATTACATGCTTAAATTACTTTAATAACAATAAAAATTAGAATAAATTAATGATGTTGAATTATTGATATGGAGTCAAGATGATACGTGGTAAAGCCAGTAGAATTTATGAAATCATTGCACTTTGAAATGGTATGTGTATAATATTGCATATATACTTGTGCATGCATAGGTATATATACCAAAAAACACAAAAATACAGCACAATATTCACCTTATCTTGTGAGAACATGGGTAGCATTTATTCCTTTAAATCTTTTCATATTATCAGAATGTTCCATATGAGTAAACTGTATTTTGCATTTATCTGAGAGAGGAATGGGAGTTCATTTTTGTAAGAACAAAACATCTTGATAAGTATTTCTAGTGTTGGAAAAATAAGCTGTGTTTGAGTAGCATTGAATTTGTTATTTTTCTTCCACGTTTCCTTCCATGTGTTCAACCGAAAGCTCGTCAAACAGCTTCACCTTTACTGCTTGAATACGTTTATTCAGTCCCGGGCGCTGGCCGTTGAATTTCCAGAAATGATGTCTGAAGTCATTGCTGCACAGTTACCCAAGATCTTGGCAGGGATGGTGAAACCTCTTCTCTTTCATAAAAAGTGAATGTCGTATTTTTCTTTCAAAGATTAAATTTTGTGGTATGTATTTTTGTGGTGGTTAGGATGATGAGGTTTCTAGTTTTTATAAAATTCTTCTGAAAGCCTTACCTTTATAACATATCATGCAATGTAAATTTATGTGAAAAATTGTGAGTCTCATTTTCCCTTGTAAAGCATAAGTAGAATGTTGAAAGTGTTTTTGTGTACTTATATTTTATTTGAGTTTACAAGAATGAAAAAGTACTAAAACTTGAAGTAAGTTCTATCTTACTGTATTATTTCATACCACTTTAGGTGAGGATTTTAACCTTGGCATCTAACAAATCTATGTTAGAGGAGAAAGAATTTACATGTGATAATAAAAGGTGATTATATTTGTTATTTCTAGATAATTCCTCTTTGTTTCTATAATTCCCAAAATGAACCTTTAAAATGGTAGGCAAAAGTCAAACATTACTGTGAAAATTCATAACCTTAGCCAAATTTTTGGAATTTTTTAATGCAAAATATATAGGTCCAGACTTTAAAACTACTGAAATAAATTAATAGGTAAAATAGGTCTTATATTGGTTATTTCCCAAATTGGAAACAGATTGATCTATGAAGAAAATTAATATACAACCATATCAATAAGACCACAGTAGTGGGAATTTTGTTTTTCCTTTTAACCTTCTTTATGGGGGTTAACCTCAAATAAAGTATTTTGAATACAAATGAAAATCAGAAGATTCTAGGACCTCCTTTTCACCACTGGCGTGTGGAAAATCAGCCTTACCGGTTCTCAATTTCCTCACCTTTAAAAGTGGTGTAATATTATCTTTCCTCTGTCAAATGTTTCTTTTGGTTAGAGCTTCTTATTAGCATTTTCTCAAATCGCAGAAAGGTGGGGGGGTATTATTTTTTTTCTCCACCACTCAAACTGAGGATGGTCATGCATAGTAGATGAATCTCAGGTTGAAAATTTTGGTGTGTGTCTGATCCAAAAATGTATGCTTCAGGAATAGAGAAATCTCAGGTTGAAAATTTTTGAGTGCCTCTGATCTGTTTTAGGAAATACCAGATACTGGTTTAAAATAATACACTCACAATAACAAGAAAACACATAGTTCACATTGTTATTTTAACTGAAAATATTCCTTTGGAAGAGAGACAGGCATTCTTTTCTGAAAAAAATCACTGGAGATCCCAAAGAAAAGAAAAAATATATATGCACCAAATATATATTTATGCACCAAATTTATAGCACTAATGAAATTCAATCAAAATAAATTATTGAGCTTTTTCATCAGTACCAATTTTACGTATATATGTGTATAGAGTATTTAACAACTCAGAGAAACTAGTGTCCTCAATTTTTTTCTAAGTTTCTTCTGAAGTAGACACATTGCTATCTTACAAAAAACAGTGCACTATTAAAGGTTAATAATAAAATTAAACTTTACAGTGTAGAAAACTTCTATTGAGCAGCTTCTAATTTCCCGATGCATTTTAGTTACCCACTTCTTTTAACTGATAAATATTTGCAGCTTACCAAAGGACAATAACATAAAAATACTCCTAATAAATGTGTGGCCCTCAAAACAAGGTAAAGTGGTTTCATATGATGAGAAATTGGCATAATTATGTTAAATTATAAATTTTAACAGTACCTTCTTCCATTTAAAAATTAAGTTAGCTATGGGGTATCTGTAAAGAAGGGATCCTCATAGGACATGTAAAGATAGGGACTAAAATAAACTTTACCCAGGACCCTTGGCTTGAGTTGATTAGGTTATTGTCAAATCTAATGGGTAACCTAACACGGTTATAACGTTCCAGGAGACTTTAACATACACATTTCAAATTCGCTCAACATTAGAACAGAAGTGGTTGCTCTCTCACTGTCTCTACGTGAATGTCTTTTTCTATAATACATGTGGAATACATTGTTCTCTCCATGGCTATTTGGTTCTTCAGTCTTCATTCCCGTACACTTCTCTCTTCACTGTTCAGGCCACCGTTACCTTCCAAAAAAGAATGTCATTGTCACGTCCTCATTGAAAAATTTTCACGGGTTTTCAGTCACCTATCACTCCAAGCTGCATCCTGGAATTTCCAAGTGGGGTTTTAAAAAAATACCATCACCTTAAAAAATTACTTGGACTCCATCCTTAGCAATCCTATTTCAGCCAGTCAGCTGCATGTATTCGTATTATGTTCCAGCCATGACAATCTTGGAACGTTAATCTTTCTTCCAGAATTTCCTCTGTTGGTACCATGCACTTATAAATCCCATGCACTTATAAACTTTCAAGACTCAGCCAGATAACATTTCTGTACTCTTCTCCAGTCTTGAAGATGATTTTCTTTCTCCTAGGTTCACCTGCCATTTTGTACACCTCTGACCTACAGAATCATGTATCTGTAGAAATCTCACTCTTGCACAGGTCTGAGAATCTCTTTGCGATGGGACAGTGGTGTTTTGTTGACAGAGTTGAACGACACATTCTGTTTCCTGTTTCCACAGTCTCTGTCCTGCTCTGGTCTCGTTGCTGAGTGTGTCTGTGCTCATGACGTTCCGCTTTTCCCGTGTCTCCTTCCCCCTGACCTGATCTGCATCTCCGTTTCCTTCAGCACCTTAGAATTTTGCACCCTTTTTCCTACTTTGTGAGAGCTCACTTTTTATTGACTGTGATGTGGGAGTTCATTTGCTGTGTACTAAGGACAATACTTTTATTTCTTGTGTGCTTGAGAACTGCATGCACACAATATTATTTCCTTCCCCATAAAAAATTCCACAGATACAACTGTTTCTTATATTTAAGTAGCATTGGACGGTTGTGTACTGCAAGCCTCAATGTAAAATTTTCCTCATTTCTAATTTCATTCAAATATCTATTGAACACCTGATATTAACATAGAAAACATACTCATAAGCTTCATGAGAATTTGGAGCTGAAGAAATACTGTAACTCAAAAGAGTTAGAATCTAGTATTAGGTATAAATCACAGTGCCTGACAAATAGTGGGCAATCAAACATTTGTTGAGTATATAAATTTTCATTCGTGAGATTTGATAGCTGTAAGGGACTATTTACATAGAGTTTTAATAAGACAAGTGTAGCACAAAAACACTACTTTAAAATTAATATTAAATAATTTCTAAATATAGTCAGGGGTCAGTAATTTAATTGCACTAAATCAGTTTGTACATTTACTGAAAAAGCATTTAATTATTTTTCCCACAAATGTCCTCTTAATAACAGTATTTTTAATATATCCTATGCACAATAATTAAGGGACATTTACTTCTGTGAAAGTGTTTGACATAACTACAAGAATATTAAGTGTGTCCAAAAATCAAAAACAAACCTACATCATCATCCTTTTAAACACAGGTGGTAAACCCAGGGAACCGTTCAGATGTGATCAGTAGCCGATTCTTGTTGTTTTTGAATAGAAACAATAATTTGATAATACACATCCTTTCCCACCATCACAATTCAATCTCCAAAATAACTTTAATTGTTTCTGATTTTACTTAACTATCAGGGAATACAGTGTATTGGCACAGGGTTGGGTGTAGCTGTCGTTGGACAGCTTCACAAGAATGTTTGATACTTCTTTTGATGTTGGTCCACAGTGTAGATGTCTCAGCAACAGGATTTAATACTTAAGGCCAAGATTAGATAAGGAAACAATAAATTCCAAAACGAACATGACACTGCCAAGTGGGAGAGGTCTGCTCGCTAAACCTGTTACTGTACAAATTCCTGCCACTAATGTCTTTATTGCTGTGTAGTCATGCAGTCTTTATCTTCACTTTTCAGGTCATGTTCTCTTTGGTAGGTCTAAAGTAAAATTAAATCATAAGAAGATAAGTTATATGTCAAGAATACTTGAAGATTACTGAAATAGATTCTTGAGTAAATGAAAACAGTTTTATTCAAAAATTGAAAAGCTATTTGAGTCAGAAGCAATTACACCTCTGATTTTTTTTTTTTTTTACTGTTTAACATGACATTTTTTAATGTGGAAAGATGTGGCTCTTTTTACTTAGGTAATACTATGCTATTATTTTTTTCACTTTTAACACTAAAATAATGTATTACTATACAGATGATAGGCAAATATGATAGGTAATATGTTTTCCACCAAAACCATGCCTTGTAAGTAACCCTTGCATGTGAACCTGCAACTCCCAGATTAACCACAGCTACTTTCAGGTACTGAACGATGGCCTCGGAGAAGGAGCTGACCTAGGTCTGTGCCTGCTTCTGCCCCTTTCGGGCTGGATGAGTGGGAGTAAGCTATGCAGTCTCTCTCCTTAAACCTTTCCTATCTGTTTTGTGATTAATAGAAATGGAAACAAAACAAGCATACAGGTGTTCGGAAACAGTAATCGTGATGATTGTACTTTCATTAACTCATGGTTCTGGCTATGATTTTATCAAACTAATCATCTGTACTCTGTACTGAAACCAGATATCCAGAGAGTCAGTTCCTTTACTTCTCTTACTATGCATGGTCATATATTTGGCTGATTTGATTTAGACTTAACGCTGGGTAGATTCAATTAATTTCTTCCCTTGAAAAGATTGAGTTTGGGGCCTGTTTCCTCAGAAATCTGATGAGCCTATCACACTTCTATTATAAATATCTAAGAATAATTATTGATATTGACATTTTCAAGTATCTCTTTAAAATATACATATCTTGACTAGAGCATACTCTTCCAGAAATCTATTAACTACATGCTCAAATTATTTTTACTATGGTAGAAACTGTACAAAGTGCAACAATAGGGTTAAAAATCATGAATTTATCAGCCAAAAATAACATTTCTATCCTGATGAATGTTGTGATGAAAGAAATCTTCATGTCTACTTTGATCTGATGTCTGTAGTAGAGTGGCTATTAATTTTTAGTTTTTGCTGTGAATACCTGAATAATTTCTGTGACCTATAAATATAGGCCCTTTACATATCAGATTTCAGGACAGGATATTAAACCTTTTAAATGTCTCTTAAACTCCATAGCCCTCTATATAAGAACCACTCAAAACTGAAAAAATATATTCTTTAAATCTAAAGATATCTTGGGGCTGGGGATTTAGCTCAGCGGCAAAAGCGCCTGCCTGGCAAGTGCAAGGTCGTGAGTTCGGTTCCTGGTACCGGAGAAAAACCAAAAAAAAAGAAGAAAAAAAAAAAATCTAAAGATATCTCATTTTTGTAGTCAGTTATTCAAAAAACTATGCCAGGACGGATAAAGCAAAATGGACAAGAGGACACTCAAGGAAGACATAACTTTCTTTCCCCACAGTGTGCCTTCTAAGTAGCAGTGGATATAGGACATTTCCACGTCACTGAAATTTAAAGGAAGTACATAGCCATATATTCTAAAAAAGTTTGCCAAGTCCTGAATTGTTTACAGCCGCTAGACTAAGTCATGAATCGTGGTTCTGGACACTCGCTCTGTACCTAGCATCTGCCATCTATTTAATCAACATTATTCCATGCTCTGTGTCCTAAAATTCAAAATTGAGTAAAGAAGGTAAAGCAACTGACTGTTCATTTTGTATTATTGAATACAGTCCAACCTGCTTTGGTCAGGATGCTCTAATATAAATCCAAGTTGAGCTGGTCTAGATAACCGAATTCAAATTGTGTTACACCCTCTTCAAACTCAAGAAATGGCCCTACAGACCACCAGTTAGCTGGGCTAATAAAAACTGTACCTCCAGAGTCAAGTCTGAGTCAGTGTGGCCTGAAGAATTGAAAACGATAAGCAAAGAATAGTTTCCTTTAATAATTTATCCTCCCTCTAACTGGAGAAGATTTAAGGATTTGAGGAACACTGGTGATAAGTGAAATAGCAGCAGTTTATGGCTGCAACTGCCGGGTCGCTGCTAAGGGAAGAAAAACATGAAGGGATCTGTTGCCTCCTCGGAGCGGAGCACGTTCCAAGGCAGAGCTCTAGGCACATGCCTGGAGGCTGCGCCCGGGCTTGTCCGAGCCCTGCGCAGCTGTGGGGCTTGGAAAACTCTTGCGGGGTGGCTGGATTAGCCCCAGAATGTCAAGCTCATTTCCAGTTTACTGGCTTTTGTTGCTTTATGTCATGCTGACCTTATTGTTAGACGCAGGTTTGTTTGCTTTCATACCGCCCATGGAAAAATGGGGAGAGCATTACTGTTAAGCTGGTTGGAGGCATTCACTGACAGAGCACTTGCAGAGAAATGTGACTTGGGCAACTAGTCAGCGTACTGCCCCCGTTACTTTAAAGAAAATGTGCGGCCTTGCTAGCTACAGTG